ATTTAGTTTGATTTAAGTTAGTAACTTGAATAATCACTTCTTCATTAAAGTCTATTACCATCTGATATTAAATGCCTCAACTTTTCCAGGAATTTTGAAATTAGAGAAGTTAAGATTGTAGAAAAGAAAGTTCCTTCTTTAGAAATCTCTAACGAATAAATTGATGTACCAGATGTTGAAGAATATAAATAGACTACATGTGTGAACTCAAACTTATATCTTTTCTTGTGCTTGTCATTCTTACTTTTCTATGTTATTCTACGTGATGATGGAATCTGATTGATGATTGCACTGCACAAACAAAGAAGATTAGTGAAAGAAACAGGGAATACACACATGTTTGAAATATTTTTTTTTGATATTTTTTTGTTTTTTATAAAATTATTTTTTAATTTTTTTTTTGTCATAAAACCATATGTAAGATATTTAGAATTATTCCTTATGATTATATATTATGTTATATATTTATAAAAAATATGTTTATAATTTGTCGATTCCGTTTCGTAATATTTTGATTTTTTCAAAAAAAATCAAAACTAATTCAAATAAAATATTATTGGTATTTTAAAATGTAAGTTTAGACGTTTTTTTAGGGATAAGATTAGTTAATATTTGATAATCAAATTTTAAATTGATTATTTAATGGTTGTGGGTTCTTTTAATTTATTTATTTTGGATTGGAAGTTTTTTCTTTATATTATTAACTAAAATTTGCTATATGGATATAATTTAATATATTTTTAAAAATGAAAAAAAACACAACCCCATTTAACGTATGAAGATCCACAATTTTAAAATTATTTTATAAATTTTTTTGATAATCAGTTTTAATTTTTTTTTTTATATTACTAATTTAAAATAAATTTAGAAAAAATAAAAAAGAAACTACCCCATTTAAAAATAAAAAAACCACACTTCTTCCTTTTTTTTTTATAATTAAAAGTGAGGCCTTTTAAACCTCATTTATTTAAATCAAAAAGAGAATATATCATCAAAACAAAATAAAACAAAACAAAAAGCTGAAAGAGAAAGGCAAAACCAAATTAGGCAACTAAAGAAGGAAATAGAAAGTCATCTTCTTCCATCTCTATGCCACCACCATTGATGATCTCCAAGCACCAGTCGCTCGCCGGATATCAACTTTTCAATGTCGTATCTCCACCATTTCAGCTGTTTCCACACTCAAACTTGATTCCGGAGATCGGAATCTATGGAGACCACCCAATCTGAGAAAATACTGCTCTTGGGTGCTGCTATAAAATGCTCTTGAAAAGCTTTATATATGAACTAGAACTCCTTTTCTCTAGTCTAATCTTTGATGGGTTGAATCCCACAAAGAGATAAATACCACCATCTAAATTTAGACCTTTGAATTGGAAAACTAACTCATTGTTGCTTATACGATTTATGGGTTTGCAAAAAAATTGGATTGGATCTGTCAAGGATGCAGATAGGAGCTATCAACAATCGAATACACCACTAAGAACTTCGGAGTCTTGATTTCTTACCACTTTGGACACCCCTATGCTCTCACCAAGTGCATGGTACGGTTAACCAACCAAAATAGCTTCAAACTTTAAAAGTTTGCTAAAGTTATGCATCAATTGTAAACTCCTTCATGCTTCTTATCGGTACTTGTATATCCTATTGTTGTGTAGTACTTTGTGAACTAGATAATCAAATTAGTACCTGGCGAATCTGTGTGCTTGATTCTTATGTATGCAATGTTACATTTTTCTAAATTTATTATCTTCTTAACTGTTGTTGGGACTTCATGGAAAGAATTGAACTCATAATTACCTGCAAAAACAAAAACTAGGTTAGCAAAAAAGTCAACAAGAGTATTTCCCTCCCTGAAAGAGTGTTGTACTCTTACTGATATAGAATTTCTGATTCTATTGATGGAGTTGACCTCCATTGTCACGCTCCAAGGTGACTCGCACTCTCCATTAAGAATATTAACCATTGACAAAGAGTCAGTCTCAATAATAATCTGTTGAAAATGTTTGTCTAAACAGTATTGCAGACCCTCTCTAATAGCAATTGCCTGAGCCATCAAGTTAGAAGAATCAACCAACTTCACACCCTTAGCCCCTACTAGATTACCATTATAATCTCTCACACAAAAAGCAGTAGAACTAGGACTAGGATTACCCTTGGAAGTATCTAAGATGGGTAACCCTCCTATCTTTTCTTCCTCGTTTAAAACTATATTAAAATTACCCCCAATCAACCAAGGCCTATCTATAGCATATGCAACCTGATATAGATCCTCCCACAAGTTCAACCTTTGCATAGCATCACACTTAGCATATACAATTGTAACATAAAAGGTTCAATTAATGCAACAAAAGTGAAGTGGTGAACCTTATGCAACATTTGAACCCTTTAAAAAGCTCATTGTGACTTCACTGATCTAATATTCCAAATAAAGGCCTTCATCATTAATGAGATATCGCTTTATTTCTCTTTGGTTGAACTCTGATTGGTTGCATACTCTCACCACTATCCTGCTTCTTTCCTTTTGTAGTTGTCATCTCTCTCAATCTCGACTATAGGGCTTCAGTTTTTTTGGGATCGTGAAAAAAAACACCGTCCGGGATGTCGAAACGAGGACGATGAGGTTCCGTCGGGAACAAGTTCAGAATGTCAGTGGGTGTGCCGGTGGCGGCGACGGTGAACTACGCCGATAACACTTTTGCGAAGAACCTGTACATCATTTTCGTGAAAGGGATCAAGGGAAGGCTTAGCAGGTTGCCTTCAACTTGTGTTGGAGATATGGTAATGGCTACTGTGAAGAAGGGTAAGCCAGTTCTCAGGAAGAAGGTTATGCCTGCTGTCATTGTTCGTCAGCGCAAGCCATGGTGTTAGTTTCACTCTTTCCGTCCATCACTAGCCAAGGTTCATTTGAGTTCGAGGTCACCAGTGAAGTCGGTTGTGGTGGAATAGCTTATTTCAGCTCGTCATTGTCTCAGTCACTGCTCAGTCGATGTAAAGCACTCTTAGCTCTTTTCTTGATTCAGTTTGCACAAAATGTTTGATAATGATGTGTTCTTTCATTGGTTCTAAGATTCTCTTGCGTGATGTGTTTAAGTCTAACTTTCATTCTTAATCTTCATCTTATTTTCATTGAGATTAGTAGTGTAGGTTTTGTTTCTAATATCACTTAGTGTATATTTTGAAATTATTTCTCTGTCTGTAGTCTTCATAACTCATGGTCACTATGCCTGCCTCATGTTTTAGCTTGTTTCACTGGTTCATCATGATATTGTTCTGTTCTTATATTGTTGAAATAGTATTCATGCTTTCGTTATGTGTTTGGAGGGTGCCGAATGAGTTATGCAGTTGCACATTCAACATATTTTGAATATAAGTTGAATTTTGAGTTTGTATTCTTTAAAGAATGTTCACACAACTGTTCATATCTTGTTTTAGGAGAGAAATGTATTATACATGTCCTCTGTTGTCATACGTTGCTCATTATTTTTTTAGAGTATGAGAGTGTTGGCAGTACACTTCTATAGTATTCTTGATGGTGTTCGTTAAATGAAGCCTTTGACATGTTTGGTATTAAATCAGATTCCTTATGTTAATATTTTCTTATATATGTGTCCAATTTAGTATTCAACATGTGTAGTTTCTTTCCCTATATGAATCCTGTTCTTCGTGATTATCATTTGTATTACAACTTTAGTATATTTTGCATGTTACAGTGATCTAGTTGATCATGGATTATGAAGATTAATTGTCCTTATTAATAGTGGTATTAAGTTGATAATTATCCCCCTCCTATCTTTGTCTAAATATAAAATTCTCTATCCTGATTTCAATATGTTATTTATCTTAGTCATTTACTTGATGTTACTGCTCAATATTGCCATCCTATATATATATATAGCTTAGTGTGAGCCCATAATCATAAGTTTGAGTGGAAGTAAGTGGATTTTATGTAGTCCTAGAGCAACTTTATAGTTTGAGTTGTAGTGATTGGATTTTATAGATTTTTTCCAGCTTCTAAGTGAAAGTTTATAGTTTAAGTTGAAATAATTGGCTTAAAAATGAAATTTTAATTTTAAGTTTATTAAAGTAAAAGAAAATTTATTAACTTTTTTCGGTAATTTTTCATGCTATTAACTTTTCCCTCTAATTTTTCTACTACGATAAAATATTCCCTCCTATTAGTAATAAGAAATTTTTTTTTTTTAAAAAAACCCTAATCCTGCTTAAAGTCTAGAGTTATTTGTATATCGCCTCAGGCCTTCAACACATTGCTCAAGCAAAGAAATTCATGGTAGCCATCTCCATCACAGGTAATCCTAACGTACTGGTTAAATTGTTCAATGCTCTATCATAAGCAGCCTTTGCATGTGAAAAGCAAAGAAACAAAAAAAACTGGAGTTCAGAAACTGCTATTCTCGACTCCTCTTTTTTCGTATTATTTTTAAAGCTTTCAGGTTTTCTTTTGGTTCTGGATATTAATTTTTACGAGCTGTGATCTTGATGGCTACCATTAGCATCAACATGTAAAGGGTTAAGGAAGCTAACAATATCAGAAAAAGAACTACTCACTTGTCGAGCATGTGTTTATTCTTTACTGCTTGTCATACTTGTGCATTAATATTATCTTGTTTTTCTTTAGTTCTCTGTCCAAATTAATAGCTATAGTTGCTTTTTGTTATATGCTGAAAAATCTGTTTCTTGTTGATATCGCGGATTTAGATTCAGTGTTCTAAAACTCGACGTTGTAGAGATTTTTGGTACCATATACAGTCTGCTTCCTTTATAGTTTGTATACTCTTCATGTATTTAGTTTTGAATAGGTCCTTGAATTAGCTTGGTGTCGAACTGTTTTTCTTCTTTGTGTTACTTAATGGCTATAAGTTTACTAGTGTCAAGAAAAATTATCATTTTTTGCCTATTCTATTAAATTTAGAACTAGATTAACATAAAAATCATATCACTAGGAACCTAGTGTTGAAATTCACCGAAAAAAATTCATGTTTATTAAGTAGTTTCTTTTCATGTTTATAACTTAGAAATTACATTAAGGTATTCTGTTCTTTTCCATTTGTTGCTATGTGTGCTAGAGACATGCTTTAAGAATGGTTATCTTTTCTTAATGGCATCCGAAGAGTAAGATATTAGGATGCCATTAAGCTAATGGTTATCTTTCCTAAGAGGTTTGCATTGCCTTAATTGTCTTCTTGAAATACGCATTACGATGTACGTTGGTAGGTGCAATTCCAGCTGCCAAACCTCCTTTGTCTTGAACTGCTTGCTGCTGTAAATGAACTGCAATGTCATCCCATTCTCAATTGGGAATTCTCTGCAAAAATGACAATAATTGATATTCATATAGTTACATAGGAATACATGATCTGTCGAATTATTAAAGGGGCAATAGAAACTTGATGTTCACTCCAAGATGCAAAAATGAACACCACAAGGCTATTGGCTACAGTTTAAACAAAACAATAATTGAATCTCTCTTCTGGCATATTCTATATTAGACTTCATCAAATCTAGGAAGAATGTGAAAAGTTTTAGTTTGACAGTCATATGAACAGTTTATTGTATGAACAACAAACCTATAATTGCAGGTAAGTATTGTACTCCCAACAAACCTAGGAAAAATGATAACAAGTTATGGTATGACATTATTTGTTTCATTTCAGTTTTTAAAAGCTTTGTCGTTTATATATTGAAACAACAAGAACCAAGTAAATTCTGACATATAATGCAAGACGTATTATTTGTTAAGTCAGCTTGGTCACTTTGCCTAGTTGACTTCTTTTATCCAGCAATTTAGATGCATCATGTATAAGTCTTGGAGAAGAACCTGTAATGATGTACCATTACCTTTGTCTTCATTGTTCCGTTAGATTCACCTTTTGTCTCTCTTCCTCTTCTCTCTTACTACTTGATTTACTTGAGGTGAGTATATTACCTCAAGTACTGATAATTTCACATGACTAGCCTTCATACATTATATTGATTTGTTGAAATTTAACTATTGATTTGCAGTTTGAAGATTACAAAGAAAGCAACCGTAGTGGAAGAACATTGATATCAATTTCAGGACTCTTTGTGTGGACTTTGCAGGTTAGTATGTGTTTGGTTGTTTTCTTTAATAGTATGGAGGTATTAGTCTTTAATAGTATGAGGGTATAATTCTTGTTTGCTATATGTATAGGTTATATACTTAATGGATAAAAGTTGGATAAATATATTGAATAGGCTTGATCCTTTATATGAGAATGGAGCCAAAGAGTTTCTTCATTTTGCATCATTAGATAGGCCAGATGCATCTGCAATATTGTGTCCATGTCGAAAGTGTCGTAATATGAAATTTGTTCGAAAAGATTTGATTGTTGAACATATTGTGGTTGATGGATTTCTAACTAGTTACACTAGTTGGATTTATCATGGTGAGGAGCTATTTTCATTAAAATTGGTCCGCAGGTTAGATAAAGGTGATGAGATGCAAGACATGTTACATGAAGCATTTGGAATTCCACCTACATCTTTTGTTGATATGGACACTAGTACTGAAGGATTTGATGGGTCAAATCAACATAACATGGGTTTTGATAAGAAGACTGAAGAATTCTTTCGCTTACTGAAAGAAGCTGAACTTGAGTTATATCCTGGAAGCAAGTATTCACTACTTTCGTTCCTTGTTCGTCTATTACACTTAAAGTGTCTCAATGGATGGAGTAACAAATCATTTTCCATGCTATTAGAGTTGTTAAAAGATGTGCTTCCAGAAGGTGAAACATTGCCCAAGTCCTTTTATGATTCAAAGAAGATTATTAAAGATTTAGGACTTGAATATAAAAAGATACATGCATGTCCAAATGATTGTATGATTTATTGGAATGAGACGAAAGATAGAACGTCTTGTAAGTTTTGCAAAGCTCTAAGATACAAACAGTTCAAAGGGGCATCAGTTAATTCCAGTTCAGAAACATCAAAAATTCCATCAAACGTGTTTAGATATTTTCTATTAATACCACGACTTCAAAGACTATTTATGTCGGCTAAAATATCTACTCAAATGAGATGGCATGCTGAAGGTCGCACTAGAGATGGAGTAATGTGACATCCTGCAGACTGTATTGCTTGGAGGAAATTTGATGAAGCACATACAGATTTTTCTCGAGATCCTCGAAATGTTAAACTTGGATTGGCTTCAGATGGCTTTAGTCCATTTAAGTCTATGTCTATCTCACATAGCACATGGCATGTTATCTTGATTCCATATAATTTGCCACCATGGTTGTGCATGAAACAACCATATATGATATTATCAACTATTATTGATGGTCCTCGTGCACCAGGTAATGATATTGATGTCTATCTACAACCCTTAGTTGATGAGTTAAAAGAATTGTGGGTTGGTGTTGCCACTTATGACATATCAAACAATCATATGTTTCAAATGCGTGCAACATTGCTTTGGACAATTAGTGATTTTCCAGGGTTAGGTAACTTATCAGGATATGGTGTGAAAACTAGATATGCTTGTCCATGTTGTCTTACCAAAACTAAATATACAAGATTGAAAAATGGGCGAAAATATTGTTTCATGTCTCATAGACGATGGTTATCTCATGGACACAAGTTTCGAAAAGATAAAGTGGCATTCAATGGCCATGTGGTGTTAGATGGAGCACCTAAACGGTTGACGGGAATTGAGATTCTTAAGCAATTGAATAATGTTAAAAACAAGTTTGGTAAAGATCTATTGGCCAAATCTCGTAAAAGGAAATGGGATGATGTTGATAATTTGGTGCAAAATATATGGAACAAAAAGAGCATATTTTTTGAGTTGGAATACTAGAAAGACAATATGATTCGTCATAATCTTGATACGATGCATATTGAAAAGAATGTCTTTGACAATATATTTTGGACATTATTGAATGTTGATGGAAAAGGAAAAGATAATTTAAACTCCCGTTTAGATTTACAAGAGATGGGGATCCGAAAAGCTTTGCATCCTAAGAAAAAGGCTAATGGAAAATATTATCTTCCTCCTGCATGTTTCACATTGAGTAACACACAAAAAGACATCCTCTTACAAGTGTTAAAAGATGTGAAAGTTCCAGACGGATATGCTTCAAATATCTCAAGTTGTGTTGATCTGAAGCAATGCACAATGCATGGGTTGAAGAGTCATGACTGCCATATTTTTATGCAACAACTCCTTCCTATTGCCTTGCAGAATCTCCTGCCAGTGAATGTACTTAGGCCATTGATTGAATTAAGTAATTTCTTTAGGGGCATTTGTTCAAAAGATCTGAAGATAAGTGACTTAGAAAAACTCCAAGATCGAGTTGCAATAACTCTATGTCATTTTGGAGAGAATATTTCCTCCATCTTTCTTTGATATCATGGAACATCTACTCATCCATTTAGCTGAAGAAGCAATGTTGGGAGGACCTTCACAATATCGCTCAATGTGGTTTATCGAACGGTATCATTTTGTTATTTTTTTATCATACTTACAAGAAATTGTATTTGTATTCTAAATTTTTTCTATTTTAGGTTCTTGCTTTGTCTTAAAAACTACGTAAGGAATAGACGTTATCCAAAAGGTGCGATTGCAGAGGGACGCTGGATAGACGAGTTAATGACGTTTTGCTCATAGTATTTAGATGACGTCGAGACTAAGTCTAATCCACCTCTAAGAAATGATGTTTCATCTAATGAAACGACAGACCAAGAGGGTCATCGATCAAGTAGAGAGAACAGATTGAAGCTTGATGACATTACACGTGCTCAAGCCCACACATATATGTTTTATTTAATTCTACCTCCACAACTTCATATCGTGAGTAAGTATTAAATCATAATTTATACTTAGTAATTAATTATTAAATAATTTTCTTTCAATTTTTATTAAATAGTTATGTGTTTTACTTCCGTAGTGAACATATAAAAGAAATCAAGAAGGAAAATCCTCGTCTATCAAGACATAATGTGGATCGAATTCATAATGAAAGATTTCAACTATGGTTTAGAAATCATGTAAGTATCAACTAGCTAAAATATTTTCTCATATATTACTATATAGGTAATTATAACTTTTAGATTACATATTTAATTTTGAATGCTAGGTCGAGAAGATGCATATGGCTGGTGAAAAATATCTGAGGATATTCAAACTTTAGCTATTGGCCCATTAATACAAGCAAAAGAATGACTGGCTATATATCTGATGGAGTTAGATACTTAACAGAGTCTCGTGATGTTAAGAGAAAAAACTCAAAAATAGTGGTATTATGTTAAAGGCTATCACTTAAAGTTATGCAAGCACAAAAGATAAAAATCCCATATTGGCAGAGGTTTCTTTTTATGGAATCCTCACAAACATAATTGAGTTATATTATTCCAAGAATCTCAAGTTTGTATTGTTTAAATGTAAATGGGTGAACAATAGCAAGGGGCTTATTGAGAAAGATGATTATGGATTTACTCTTGTGAATTTTAATCATCTACTGTATACAAGACATTAGTTATCAGATGAACCATTCATCTTTGCTTCTCAAGCTCAACAAGTGTTTTATGTCGATCATCCTATGGAAAAGGAGTGGCAAATGGTTGTTAAACTTAAGCTAAGAGGTTTTTATGATTTAGGTGATGACACACCAACAATTGAGCATAAGGAAGGACATATGGAGTTGTGGCCTGAACAACAATTGGATGACACAA